CCCGGTTGTTGAAGGGGTTCTAGGGCTTAGGGGGCCTGGGTTTTCAGGCGATTTAACGGCTCAGGAAAATTTATCTTTCTAGTAGGTCAGCCGTATAGGGCGATAAACGGCCGTGCCTAGGAAGTCGAATCCGCAAGGCTGCACATGCGTGGCTCTCCGTACTTTGAAAGACTGAAGGGCTCACTGTACTTGAAGCTTCGTAGACAGTTATGAGTCCGGTGCTTTGGGAAATACTTTATCTTTGATGTGGGTGAGTAACTACCTGGGATTCCAAAACCCTATCGTTTTGAGGGTTTTACCTTCTAATTAAGCGGTCATAACCTACTATTTTGCAGGGTTCGGGGTCACAGGTACAGTTGCAAGTCCATTCGCCTGGGTTATTACTATAGTTATCCCACTTATAACCCTACCTATCCTCCAAGTGGAGCTTCCAAGTCAGCCACGTGGGCCCTGAAAGCTCGACGCCCAAGACCGTCGAGCACACTAACCCTAGATCCTAAACCCTGAACCCTGAACCCGCACCCCAAGTCTCGGCCCAGGGCGGCAGCCAAAGATGTGGGAGTCGAGGCATTTGGTCGGGGAGGGTGTTCCCTTGCATCGCAAATTGGGTAGTTGTAAGGGTGCCGTGCTACATTGAGGGACCTAAAGAGGGACCCTAATGTAGACAACTACCAAAATAGAGGCCTCAAGCAATGGCAACAAGATGCGACAATAAAGTGTGTTCTTAGAGTGCCAGAGGCACGATGTTGTAAGGTAAGCTACACCAAAGAAACAAAGAACAATTCCGAATGATCTGGGGCCCAGGGGCCCTGAAATGCTCTGATCCTTCGTCGAGCCCTGGAATTTTCAAGAAGTAGGTATCATCCCGGTGTTCAGAACTACCCCAAATGCTAAAGCTAGGACATGTGCACACATGAACATCGATCAGATTCACTGGGATTGTTTCTGAAAGTGTGCGGCACCTTGTTTTGGGGGACGTCTTTGGAGTTTGATATTGGGGCCCTCATTTCCTGAAGCTTACCATGAAACCCCAAACCCTAACCCCCAAACCGATGATGCTAGGCGCAAGTCTGAAGCTGGCAGGATGTGACTGAAGCCATGCAGTCCTACGTGCAGGGGCTCAGGCTCGCTGTGCCCCGGGATGCCGTGACCACGCTTGAGGATTTAGAGTTTGGAGTTGAGGGTTTGGGGTTTAGGATTTAGGGTTGGTTTAGTATGGTTTAGAGTTTAGAGCTTCGGGTTGCGAGTTTGGGGTTTAGGGTTTATGGTTTCAGACTTTCATTATTTGGGGTTGGGATATGTGGAGTGAAGGAGGGCTGTTCCTCTCAAACATCTTGCGTGCCGCGTCTTCCAGTGACTTGCTCTCTAAAGAAAGGCTTTTGTGCGAGTATCAGAACCTCCCTGTAAGGACCGCCAAGGTTCATGATATTAAGGTTACTCTTGCTTGTCATAAGAATCGGCAGCTGCAAGGGTAATTACCACCGGTAAGTATTGCCACAATGGTCACGGTAAGAAGAGCATCGTACCACGGAGTGCGCATCTGCCTATCCTCCTTCATATGTTGCTCCTGCTCTTTGCGCTCAGAATCTGCACCACCACGGTGCGCCTTCATTATTAGCAGCGTGAGCCACATCTCGTTCTCATCGTCATCTTCTTCCCCATACTTGACATCATCGTCAACGGCATGGTCACCGCCATCGTGGCCATCCTCCTTTCTCCACACTGGGACCCTTGCGCTCTCCTTGCGGAGGCCTTATCGACTTAGCGAGACTTCCTAGGCGAGCTTCCCCACGAGCCCGGGCTTATGGGTACTGTATAAGGTTTATTTAGAGTTTAAGGGACACTGTAGGTTACTGGGCTCCGAGGGGTTAAACCTTAATCCTTTAAGCCCAAAGCCTCTAAAGCCCTTTAAAGCCAGGAAATCGAATCTGCAAGGCTTGAGATGCAACCCTAAACCCTAAAACCCTAAACCCCTGAACCCAGCCTAGACCCTCGTAGTCCCATGACGAGTCGAAGCTTCCGATGCGAGCGGGAGGCTAGCGATTTATAAAGTATAGGATACTGTAGCATAGGATAGTATAGCATAATATAGCATAATATAGTATACAATAAAATCTCAAAAAATCATATCATATTGTATTATGTGATACTAGTATAGTATAGTATAGTATAGTATAGTATAGTATAGTATAGTATCGTATAGTATAGTATAGTACAGTATTGTTTCGTACGAAGGCTCCTGCGCGAGCTGCTCCTCGCCGCCGCCCGCTGCAAGAAGCCGCAGGTTGGCTCCGGGCACGGAAACTCCAAAAAATGGGATCCCTTTTCGGTGTTTAGGGTTGAGGGTTTACGGGTTTAGGGGTTAGGGGTTTAGGGTTCCTTAAAAGGTCCTTTAAGGGCTTTATCATGGTACCCTCAAATAGAGTATACTCTACGGGGCTATACATAGTAAACTCTACTACGCTAATTATAGTATAGTATAGTAGAGTGTACACAGGCACATTTAAAAAAAAGGTAATATTCTATATCATACTTGACTATAACAGACTATACCACAATGGACTTGAATTCATTCGGTGTTTGCTGGATCCTGGACTTCCCGGGCTTTGGGGGGAGCCTGAGCACATCTTTTTCGAAGTGCCCTTCTTGTGGAAAAACCCAAAGTTTCAATCCTACTTGGGGGTTCATGGATAGTTATAAGTAGGGTTACAAGTAGGTTGGTTATACTTGTAATCCATATCAAAGGACTTCTAACTCCACTTATAACTACCCGTGAACCTCCAAGTAAATGCCTGAGCACCCTGCCCCTCAACCCGAACCCCTCCAAAACCCCCTGTAGCACACCCAGATACAGTTACCTGTGAACCCTCAACCTTCTGTGGTACCCCCTTAGAGTACCATTCAGAGATCCTAAACCCGGATCCCCTTTTGAGCCGGGGCCAGGACAGCGACTGGCAAGTGATTCTGAAGCCCGTGATGGAGCTGGGCTCCACGGCCGCTCCGCTTCGAACCAAACGGGAAGATGCGCTCCTCTAATAATATGGAAGCCGAAATAGTTACCAAGATTATCGTTAGGGTCCGGGTTCCTTATTATTTTAGGTTCGATTAGTTAAGGCCCGTAGAGTATAGTGTTTGTTGTGTTTTGCAAATCTGGTGTTTGAGTTCAGGTTCTTTTGTTAGGTTTGAATAGGAGTCTTTCGGGCTTGTGTAGGTTTGTACAATATCTAGGGGCCTTGCTTATCACCTATTCTATTTTGGGGGTTCCTTATTGTAATTACAGTATACTAGACCCCAAAACCCTGTTGTTCAGGACTTTGGTGTTTAGGGTTCACGGATTTGGAGTTTCGGGTTCGAGTTTAGATCGAGCCCAGGGGTAGTATCTCGAAGCACCAGGTCATGCTAAGTTGATTGGGTTCTCGCGACCGGTCGACGACCGTGCTTTAAGATGCCAGAAGGAGGAACATTATGCAATCTCACCCTAAACTCGCATGATGGTAACCGAACCCCTTGTAGCCTCGACACTCGACAACACCCATAAGTTATGTTATGTAAAGCTCATGAGACTTAGAAAGTAAGGCCATGAACCCCCTTTACAACCCTGCTTACAAACTCCCTTGAGCCTTTAAGCACGCCGCAAGACGACCTGATCCCCACCTGAGGCGCAGAAGGCTTGCGACCCTCGGAGCGACTTCTTCCAAAACAGGACACTGCGAAATTCTGCTCCTGCTCCTGCTGCTGCCCAGCACTTACGCTCATACCGGGGAGCAATACGAGGCGACGTCCATAATGTTCATGTTTCTCAGGACGCACAGGCCCATCATGGCCCATCCACAGTGAATCCAAGTCTCTTCTTCTTCACTTCCCCGTCTAGCCTGTTGCTGTGATCTCACGGCTGCCTTTATGTTCTATTGTATTTTGCAGATTATGATACCATGTTCTTCGGAGACGCTGCAGGAAGGCATGCGCAGAATCGCTCAACGTGATTATGTTCCCAGCCTCAGAGCCGCGGTTTTTTCGACATTGTTTTCCCATCATGCTACCTTGCTCAGTGAATGCGGCGCATCATGCCGACTACGACGACACCTTGCATTAGCTCGGCCTTGCCGTAACTGAGAGACAAGTGACAGCGCGTAAGCTTTCTGATGTTGGCACCATGGTAGTTGCCTCGGCGGGTATTGCTAGCATTCTAGTGCGTCTGGCAGTCTTCGGAGTCCCAGTCTTACATCTGTCTAGGCCCGGGCCTTCCCGTGGTTTCGTGTGGCTGAGGCTAGTGACATCGCCTTCTCCTCCGGGACATGCCTGCGGCTCAGGTTCCTTCCGCACTTGGGGTCTTGCAGGTATCGTGATTCCAATGCCTGTTGCTGCACAGAATCCGTGGCGAAGCAGGATCGTGCCCAGACAGGGCCAGGTTCGAAGCTACCCGGGATCTTTAGTACCGCTGGTGCTCGCTAGACGTGTCTTTGCTTTCGCTCTCAGGTGCAGAGTGTGTTGGAGACCTTCGATTTCCATGCCATGAAGGCTCGGTCAGGGCGATGTCTCAAGGCTTTTGGTTTGGATTGATGTGGTCGTGATTTTGCCCCAGAAGCATGTGCGAGTCGCCTCGGCGCTGGGAAAGAGTTCGAGCGAGATCGGCCGATTGCATGTCGAACAGAGCCCTTTCCATGTTCATCATTGTCATCACGGATCCGCCGGCCGTGCAGTCAATTTCGTCATCTGCACGATGTCGTAAGTCTCTCTTCGCCTGCTCACCGCCAAGATACTCGCAGGGAGGCTACAGGCCAAGACTTGATTTCCGGCTGACCCTTACGAGGTATGGGGCAGCCCGAGTTCCCAAGATCGGTGGCTTGATACGTGATAGCCCTGAATCCCCTCAGCCTCAGGAGCCCTTCCTTGCCTGTGCAGGTGATGCAGAAAAAGGTTGACAAGGCCTGGAACCGCCAGAGCCCTTGTGATGATGTCGACAGTTTTTGCGTTCCAGTGTCGAAGGCGAACGCTCAAAGATGGTTGTGGTCGCGGTTGTGGTCGTGTTTGAAGTCGAGGCTCCAATAGCCTGAAGAGAAGGCAAACCAAGTAATGAGTCAAGTAGTTGCAAATTCGGCAACACTCCCTACATGACTTTAGCATAGTATGCTGCGATCCCGATTCATCTTAGGCTCCGATAGTTGCTGGCCTAAAAAATGGAGCGCCTGTGCAGGAAACTGCGTGGATCAAAGCCGTGAAGGAATCCCTCAAGGACGCGCTGCCTCTCCACCACTCTAGTTTAAGAACGTGGTGGTTCATGTCAGGTAGGTAGGTAGGTAGGTAGGTAGGTAGGTAGGTAGGTAGGTAGGTAGGTGCGTGTTTGTCGCTGTGTGTGTGGTGCATGGCACGTGTGTATGTAGCTTTGTGAGGTATCTGTATGCATGTATCTGTATGTATGCATGTATGCATGTATGCGTGTGCATGTATGCAT